CAATTCGAGAATGGATGACAAAGGAAAAAAGAACAAATCGAGCTGCATATTTAACGGACAAAGATTGTGAAGTGGCACGTCAAGTTATCACTGAAGGTATGCAACCGAAATTAAATTGGTATAAATCAGTTATTATTAATATTGATTGGGATGATGAAAAAGACCTTGATCCAACAATAAAACGACCATTTCTTTATGTTGCAGGAACAAAAGATTATATATGTATTCCACAAGTCTATGATAATCAAAAACAACATATTCCTAATTTAGAAACAATTGAATTAGATACATGCCATTGGACGATGGAAGAAAAACCAGAAGATGTGAATCAAGTAGTAGAAAAATGGATTGAAAAAATCGTTTAATTTTTCTAATTATTTTAATAGATAGTTATAAACATTTTAAATAAAATAAAAATAATCGATAAATTCAGTTTCATATAATATAATATCATTGAACTTATAAGGAAATATTCGTAGGTGTTGGAAAGGTGTGGGTGCTACATAGATACAGTATCTACACTCTCACATCTACATACGGCTCTGTTTTGAAGTTCTTGTTTGACGAGATGCGAATGTGACTAAACGTTGAATATGACAGTTTCATACTACTTTCAAAATAGTACAAAGAGATTATGAATGAAAGATAAATAAAACGCTTTCATATACCCACCATGCTAATCGAATCAAAATATCTGTTTCTTCCGTCGAGTCTAAGTTGTTATTTTTCACTTCAATCAATGTGTCTCAAATGTGAGGGTATGAGTGTCGATATATAGTGCTAAAATAGTCACAAATCGATGACTGATACTTGATTTAAAGATGTAATTCTTTATAAAATCAAATGCACTTCGACAAGACAATAGATTCTATTAATGTAAGGTTACACATCTCTCTTGCGTTTTGTCGCCTACCTAGATGTATTATCCTATAAATTATTTTTCTTTTCTTATCTTCTCCAAAATTTCAACTAAAGATGATAGATTTAGCATTTATCTTTTGAAATATTTGAATCAAAATTATCAAATTGAATTGAGTTTTGTAGAAAAATAACAAATACCTTCTTTCAAAGTTTCAACCGAAATTAATTTATTTTGGAAACTAATGCAAATGAAATTTCTTTAGTCAAAAGTTTCTTTTCAGATCTTATTCGATTTTTTCGTTGATTTTCAACAATAAAACTTTGTTTTTTCTTCTGTTTTTATTACTCGATTTTTATTCAAAATCAAAATTTCATTCACAAAACTATTTCAAATTTTTGAATTCGATGATTCGAATAATCAGCAACATAAAGACTTTCTTCATCATCAAAACATAAACCTGTGGGACAATTCAATTGATTTGATTGATTTCCTGCACCATTTCCACCAACAACAACTTCACCTTCTTCTTTTCCTTCACACCAGCGCATTACTCGATGATTTACACTATCTGCCACATAGATTTGACCCAAATCATCAACAATTACTCCTTCAGGTAAAGACAACTGATTGAGATTTTTTCCTTCACCATTTCCGCCAGCCACAAGTATTCCTTCTTTTGCACCTTTTCTCCATTTCATCACACGATGACTTTCCCAATCTGATACATAAACAGATTGTTCTTCATCAACAAAGATGAAAGTAGGACAATTGAGTTGATTAAGTTGATTTCCTTGTCCATTTCCACCTGCCACTACAATTCCTTCATTGTTGTATTCACCCATTTTCCATCGTCTCACTTCATTGTTCTTCCAATCGTTAACATAAAGAAAACCATGTTTATCCATTGCTAAGCCCAAACAGTCAATATTGTTAATGAGAATTT